TGCTCATGCTGTAAGGTAAAGTTTGGAGGTCCATTGTTACTGTTTGTTTTGTTTTGTAGGTGAGGTATAATTTAGATGTTCAAGGTCTTATTTGACTTCCGGGCTTAATGTCACTTTTTTTTGTGTGGTACGAGGAAGTGGATGACCATTAACCTGGTGGCAAGAAAATACACAGTCTTTTAAAGGTGACCTTTTGAGAAGCAGTAGTAAGAGAACAATTTTAAGGCCGGAGCTTACAAAATAAACACTGAATCCTGGCTTTTATCTGCTGTATAAAGACAGTGTTTGGGAGGATAGTTCCCTTCAAATCCTGCAATACACAAAGCACATTCCTCAGCCTGCATGCTGTCAGGGGTCTCTTGAAAGAGGACAAATGTCACTTTTCATGCATTTACAAATAAGTTTACACACTGCTAGTGTGTAAGATGCAAGTTTGCTGCACAGAAGGCTGGCCTCTCTCCAAAGTAAATACACCAGCTAGACATCCAGTGAATGTGAATGTGCTCTGCCCTGACCATAGCATGAGGTTGCCGGTCCCTTTGCTAAGGTCTATCAAGGAAGAAGGTTTGGGAAAGAGCAGTGCAATGCAGAACTCTGGGATACCCAGACAAGAACTAATTTTTAGATTAATCCTTAGTGCTAAATACTTGCACCAAGATCCTCAAAATAATTTGCACACATGGTAGTGGAGTTGACGTGGTGACATGGGACCTGGAAATTCCTGTTTGTGCCATGGGTCTGCTGTGCTGTGGAGGGCTGTAGTGGCCTTGTCTGAGTGCTCCCAGCACTTCTGCAATTCCCTACCAAACCACAGACAGTGGCAATCACTAAACCTTTCTGTGCAGCTACGCAGAGGAGAACCACTTGCTGTTTTGGGTTGCTTGACACTGGGAGAGGGAATTTCTCCAGTTTTCTGCATGGAAGAAGAAGGGACCCAGGTGCTGGTGATGAGATGAATAAACTCAATGAGCATAGAAGAGCACAGAACAGGAAAGTTTATACAGAATGGAGATGTGTGCTGTCAAATTCAGGGCATGGTGGGCCTAGAGGATGAGCCATGGTGGAAGGAGACCAGCCTGAAGCTCAGACAGTATTCCTCTGAGTCAGAGCACAAAGCATATGGAAGGGAAAATGGTTTCTCTACTCTGTGACAGACTCTGAATTTCATCTACAAGCAGTCAAGAGGGGTGATGGAATTAGAAGAAGCGCAAAGTTCTTTGATATTTTGTCCAGTCTTTCATATTTCTTCTGATTTAGGAATAAGAAGTGGAGACATTTGGAAATTATTATTTTATATATGCAATCATTTGACTGTGTGAACTGTGACCTGCAAATCTGGCATACACATACACACTGTGTGCTGTGGGAAGCCAGCATGGCTGTGCAGCAGGGAGGAGAGGCTCAGAGATGGGCAGGCTTTGTGTATCTGGAGACTATGTCACTGAAGGGTACACAGAGAGCCAGTGTCCCTGAGACCCCAGGATGTGCTGCACATGCCACCCCTGAAGCTGGCAGAAACCTGTGCACAAATCAGTCCTGAAAGTTTTGGAGGATCAGAGAAAGAATGTAGTGCTGCTGCTTCCTAGTGTTTGGTTATTGTGTTTAGATTGTTTAGATCTCCAAAGAGGATCTGAGCTCTAGAGACGTCTATTTTTCCCCCCTAGATGCGTGTGCTTGTGTGTGTGTATGCCTGTGCATATGAAAATTTTCCTTCAGACATTTGTCTGCTCCCAAATAGCAACTGCAGAGACTTCATCAGCAACAGCAGCATTAACCTTGCACTGACCTTCTAATAAGCAAGGTATGAACTGCTTCTGTGTCCATCCTTAGTCTGAGAGATGGAGATGAAAGGAGGTTTAATTTGGCCCATTGAATGGGTTTGTTGTCACAAAAAGCCTAAACTCCCCTACGGCTGTAATGTCTCTGTTGACATAAAGATTTTAATATAGGTTATGATTAGCATCAAGAAAATGTTAAATGACATAAATTTACCCCCAGATAATAATTTTCAAAATTATTTTTCCTATGTTATTGCTGCTTTTTCACAAATGTATACATTACAGAGGAAAATGGAGGTCAAAGGTGTTAGCGTAATTAATGAAATATGGGTCTAAAGAATGTGGTTTAATACTAAATTCTATGGCACTGAGAGGCTGAACTCACTTCAGCTGCACTGTGAGACTCGCAGCAGTTGCGAGTGTAAATCTGACGCTCTCTTAGGGTTGTTTAGGGATTCACAGAGCCCAAAATTTAATTTTACACATATAAATGCATAGGTTTTAAAGCCAGAAGAAACTACCAAGATCTAGTCTGACCTCCTTTATAATGCAGCCACAGAATTTCACCTTGTAATTCCCTGCCTGAGCCAAATAACATGACTATTCATGCCAGAAGGGTTTGTGCTTTAATTCAGTGAGAGAACAGGTATGATACCAGCCTGTATCAACAAAACCACAGAACACAAATAATGCATGTCAAGCATCAAATTCTCTCGAACTCGTGGTGATAGTAATGAAAATTGCTAAATGTCTTTGACTAACAAATAAATCTGATTAAACTACTCTGTGATTATAGCTATCCTGTGAGCAAGAAAGGACATAAATTGTTAGATATGTGATTTATAGAGTATTATTTGATTTTCTCAGTAACTCTCTATGTTCTTGGGTCTTTGATATTCTGATAGCAATGTCCTTTGCAAATAATGCAAAATGATGTATATTTTAGCAGCTACTGGCTAGATTCTCAAGAGGAAGCATTCTCTAATAGCCCAGTGCTCCTGAGGGACTTTTACAAGTAATAAAATCCAAAGTATACAAGCCAGATTTTCAGTCAAATCTCACTTATACAGACATGAATTTCAGCTTCAGAGATCTTTTTTTTTTTTTTTTCTCGTCGCAAGACAAGCCCAGATGATGTGCAACCAGATTCCTCCATCCTGCAGACATTTGAAGAGTCAGCTACCTACGTGGTAGGGCAAATATTTGGTGTCTGAAGTGTGGCACAGAAGCCAACTATTGATCTCTTCAGTGGGGCAGGAGTGGGGAAAAGGTCCTTACACAGCAATCTCTTTGTCCACTGAACTCCTTTCCTGCCTGCACTTTCTATTACCAGAGGTAAAGAAGGCAGAAAACAGTCCTGTATGTGCTGATACAAAGGCCAAGTGAAGAAATTTTTGATTTTTCCCCCTTACAGGTGAGGATACTAATGGTAAAAAATTATCATAGATGGCATTTAATGTGGTAAACTGAAATTTCGGATAAAGCATAATGCAGATGGCATATCCCCTCTTCTCAGCCTCTTTTTAACTGGCCCTTACTGGTGAGAGTAAACATTTGCTGTTAGAAGCAGGGAATAAGTCTTTTGGTTTAAGACAAATCCAAGCTCATTTGAATTACAGTGTAAATAAATAATAAAAATTGCAGTAATTTGTACAATTATGAAATAATAATATTAATGATGAGAGCTGTGAGATTTTTTTTTTTATCTTGCAAAATCTTTGTGCAGATTCTTTTTTTCTTCACAGCTTTAATACTGTTCAGATGTGTGGCAACAAGGAAAGGATTCACTGAAAGTTCTTAGCAGATGTGCTTGGAGAAAACCCAGCTCCTGAGACTGTGCATTATTGTCACCATCCCCATCAACAGCAAATGTATTAGTGTTTGCAAAGCTCATATATAATTCACTAGCTAATGTAATTCAAAACCACAGAGAATGCAGTATTTCTGTTCTTGAACTTAAATTTGTTTAGTTTTTTGAGTCCATATGATTCTGAATTTGGAAAACCCAGCTGCACTTAAATCCAGTGCAGGACACCCACTGAATACAGTTTGGGTTTCCTGTTATCTCCTTATGAATAAATGAAAACATTACAGCAGAAGTAGCTCTTTATCTTTCATTTAAACATAACAGTTGTGATGATTACACTTAGCAGAGGGTGGATTTTGTGATTGTGGTAGTATTTCCATTTGTTGGTTTGCTCCTATATTTTTATGCCAAAATGGCAGGCATTGCTAAGCTGACAGACTAATTTAGCTTCAGTAGGTCATCCAGTTAAAGCAAAGAGCAGAATTTATGCATTTGCATTACACAAAAGATTTATACTTTTTTAAAAGATTATGTTTATATTGGCCTTTAGTAATTGGGCCAAATTCTTGGCTGATATGATTTAACTGAATTCTTTAGGCGTGATATTTCAGCAGAGAATTTGATCATAGCATTTACATTTTTATAGCTATAATTTGATATATTTTACATGCAGATCATGTAAACATCTATGGTTACTGCACTTAATATATATATAATTATGAGCATAAGTATGCATGCATGTATAGATATATACTAATAGTACAATAAGTAAACATCCAGGAGCACACACTTTTATTTCGGTTTATGATAGCCATCATTTACCATTAGCTAGCATCCTAAGTTGACAATGGGGAATGTATCTACATTTTATGTGCCACCATGGAATAATTATGAAATATTTATTGTATGGAAATTATTTACATAAATATGTGTTGTATTTACAGGACAGAACAGAAACTTGCAGAGGGGGCTGTGACATGAGAGTTCTGCAATGACATTTGAAATAATAGGAATATTCCTAGCAGCTTTTAGGACACTTTATCCAATTGGGTACAAACGAGCTGCGTTTATCTGTGTGATGGTTGGTTTGCAAGTTTTGGGGTAAATGATCCAAGAACAGCAGAGTTGGACATATTTTATTTGCACAGTGAAATTCTATTGGCAAAAAAAGCTGCAAAGACAGTTTATATTTTTGTCACACTGTAATAAGCGACTAACGACCCACAGAGAATTTGGGAAAATGTCCTATTTACATTCCGTCCTGTTTATGTGGTCTGTTTTTGCATACAAAGGAGGTTTTTGTTTCCACAGGGCTTGTCAGCACCTTCTAGATATTCCCCACCAGTCTCCACAGTCCTCTTTGGCATCAAACTTCATTTCCACACGTAAAGACTTTTGTATGATGTGTCACGTACCTGGCGATTTTGTCTGTACAGGACATGGTGATGAGCTGCTCTCCCAGCAACACCCCGTCCCACGTCTGAGCTGCGTTGTGACACCGCACAGGTATGGTTCCTTCCCCAGACTCGATCTTTGTTCGGAGGTGCCCACGGTATTTTCTCACTATGTGCTTGCTGCTGTTCACTGCGCAAAATAAACACAGGAGTGACAGTAATTAAATATTTTTTAGAGAGAACCTGAGAGACTGTGTTCATGCCATAGCTTGCATTTGCAGAACCACCTGTGGAGGTCCTTTAAATTGGATGCAAAATTAGATGAGATTACGGCCCATGAAAGCAGCACAGTGCAGAAAAGAAGGTGCTCCCTAACATGGTTGTCTTTTCACATCAATTAAAACTTACACACAGCACACGCAGAGCTCACATTCCCCTTCTATTTCCCTTATATGTTTAAAAAGAACAGAGAAGCTTTGTTTTTTAAAGAATCAGTACAATTTCTTGGTTTAGGAGTGATCTGTGATGGGGTAATATTTGGAAAAGCTTGGTTCAATGAGTGTCATCAAAGACTCAGCTGCATGATGCCGACCAGCCCAATACTCCACTGCGATAATCAGTGACATTTCCTGAATAATTTCAGAACTGAGGTTTTGATTTTTTATCACAAAATTTCTTTGAAAATTCTGAAAAGATAAAGGTTTATACTCTGGATCAAAAGCAAATCAAAACTTGCTAGTTATTCACTGCTCGCTGAAATACCTTCTGCAGTCTACCTGAAATGATGTACCCTCCTGCCTTGTGTCATACCTTTTATCACTTCAGTGATATTATATATTTGAGTGCAAGGCAGCTACCTCTGGGATGTCACAGGGCAGCTTATGCACTTGTCCTGCTCTGCAAGGAACTGAGTCCTGCAGATATGCAGTAAGTATAGAAGATAATGACATTTCAAAAGCACTTCACCTTCATTATTATGAAAAGAGAAAAACTGAAGTTCATGATCAAAATCACTCTTACCCTCCTTACACTGCTACTTTACCCCTGGGTATTTGGATTTTAAGAAAACAACAAGGAACAGTGAGGAAATTCAATGGGTCTGCTCACCACCTTAGCCTCAGAGGATTTCACTGGAGGACAACTTCTCCCTGAAGCAGACCTTTCAGTTTCCCTCTAGCCCAAAGGAAAATAATGCAAGACAGTACATGATGGCCTTTTCTGTGTGCTTGAGGAAAAGGAGATCTGCTTCTACAGACCTGAGGCTTTTGCCCACATTTCCAGCCGTTCAGTGTATTTTTCCATGCCTTCCCCCTCAGCTGTACCAGAAGGTTTCTGCATGTGAAGGTGATGCTCCTCAGTTAAAGGTGATGCTCCTCGGTGGCCCACGGGGCTGCTTGCATTCCTGGCACTGAGTAACACCAGTGTGTCAGAGGGGGCTGATGGAACCTCTGGCCACGAGCAGGTGTCTCTGTGCATGATCCCCAGCCACCCACTCCTTCCCTCTGTCATCTTTGTACTGTCTTTGCTTTGTATGGCTATTGTCTGTGCTGTGAGCTCTGATGGAAGCAATGGATTGACTTTGGCTGCTGCCAATGGATGGTTTGCAAAAAGGGAATGGAAAAATAAATTGCTTCAGCCTGTTGGGATTAGCAGAGGCAGCAAACATATGTAGAACAGCAGAGTCAGCTGTGTCCTGCCAGCAGACGGGCAGCAGGGCCCCCACCAGTTGATCATTGCCTCTTCACTTCCTTCCTGATTTTTTTAAATTTAAGATGGGGGTGTGCGTGCCAGTAGGGGGCTGGACCAGATATCAAATAGATTGGTTGGCCATGGCCCAAACTGCTTTCCACCTAAACTCAGGCTCCATCATTTCCAAAATATTTGCAGATACTGTAGGGTTTGTTTGTGCTGCTATGGGATCTGAGTTTGAGGAAGAGTTGTTGTTCCACTGCCATCTCCATCAGCAGCCATGTCCCAGTAGGGGATGTGGAGGGGCCTTGTGCCCAGCTGTCAGAGAGTACCTTACAAACTGAGACGTTGCAGTAACCACAAGACTTGAAGTATTGTGGATTTTCAAACTTCAGTTATGAGGTAAACTGGGAAGAACCAATGGGCAAATAAAAAAATCAGTAAGCAAAAATGCCAAAGTCTCACAAATGTCTTAGATCCCTCTACTCTCAAAATTCCTGGTTGTACCAACACCGTCAGGAAACCACTTTCATGGCCGTGTGTGTTGATCCTTTCTATATCCCTCTTGTCTGGGGTGCTTACTGCAGTATCATTCAGAGGATGCTCTTTGGACAGAATTAGTTATCTGGGAACTGGTCCATATTTTTCTTGAGACTCTGTGGGGAAACATTTTTTAAAAACTTGAAACAGTGGTGAGCAGCATTTTTTATTATTAAACCACAGAGTCTTCGAAAAGGTAGCATGAAATTTGGACAACAAAAGTAGAGAGTGATCACTTCTGCTTAGCAAACACATCTGGCTGAGCAAGAGTGAGAAATGTATAACACAACCATTTTGCCTTTATCTGCACATCCTGCAAACCGATGGCAGGGCAGAGCTAGATCTCTGCCAGGGAAGCAGTGAAGAGTGACTCAAGAGGCTATTGCTGTTTTGTCTGGTAGAAAGTTTGACTTTAAGCAAATCAGTTCTCTTTTCCTAAGCTTTCCCACAGGTATAATGAAGATAATGATGCTTTCTTCTTATGCAAATTCATTTAAAGGTACTGCTCAACAGCTATTTATGAAAAACAGATGCTATTCTTTCAGTAAAGATCTACCACAGGAGTCTGCCTGCTGGAAATCCCCCAGGATAAAATGAATTTTTAGTGTTTCTTTCTCCATTTTTTTAAAAGAAAAATATTTTCTCTTGTTACACTTTTCTGTCTCCATTTCCCATCTCTCTACATTCTTCTCACTTCCTCACTCCTGCTCTGACCCTCCCCTGTAGCTGCCTTGATGTCCTAGATTGCTCTTTTTTTTGGGCAGTTCACCATGTTGATACACACACATTTCACATACATGAAAAAGGACATGTAACTGTTAGGGAATTCTACTCATTGCAGTATAATATGAGCAGCCCATCATTTACATAACTTTGATTTCACTATATAAATGTTACCTAAGTGAGGGGCAAAGCATCCCACAATATGCTGACAGAGATGAGGAACCAGTTCAGGAGAAGAAATAGCAGCAGCCCTGCAAACAACTTTTGAGCACTTGGAGAATTTAAAGCCAAAAATTTTGGGGGAGAGGAATCTGAAAGACTTCAGTGAGTTTGATGGGGGAGTCTGCTTATTTAATTTTTCATTTGTCTATCTGATCTTCTCAGTTTCCCTCAGGACCAAAGGAAGTATAAAAGCCAAAGTACTCCATGTATGGTGGTTCTTACAGCATTCTGGGCCTGGCCTGCAAGTACCAAAAACTGAACAAAAAAGTTTTTAAAAGCATCAAGGAAGTGTGTGCAAGTGCACTGATAATCTCAGTTTCCGAATTATCATATTAACTCAGTGTCAAACTTTGCTCCCTGTCATGCACGCTCTGCCCAGGGTGCATCCGAGCAGAGGGCGTTGGCTGATAGGATTCAGGCAGCTGTGGCCAGTGTCCACTCACCCCAGCATACACTTCCACAGTTCTGATAAGGGGTTTTAGCTGCTCAGCTGCTATTAAATTCAACAAATAGGGTGTGATTAAAACCTCGTGCAGTACAGCCTGTCTCAGGTTGCTCACATCGCTGGGATAGTTGGCACGCATGCTCCAAAAGATTATCTGTGGCATTTATATAAAACACTAATAACCCAAAGCTCTGAACACTTTCAGATTGCCAATGATTAAATAAATCCAGATCCGCAGTTGGAACACACTGAGTTCTTTTTTAGCTTGTTGTTAAGTAGCACAGGAAGATATAAATATTGAACAAAGGAAAAGATGAGGCTCTGTGAGTATTGCACTGAAACTGCAGACAGAGTCCAGCACATAAACTGCATGACAGCAGTAAAAAATGCAGTCCACTTTCTGGCACAACCTGCTATGGATAATTTTAAAGCAGTCTCAGAAATGTATTTATTTATACATTTTAAAGTCACAAACTACAGCCTACCGCTGTTCTGCTGTTCAGTACGATCAAAGCATCAGTGACTATAAGCACTTCTGATCTTTGCTGTGCTGGTTCTCCAACTGCTTAATCTCAGCTAATTGCAGGGGAGAAGGTGTCTGTGGATGCCACTTCAACCAGAACAAAATGTCAATTCAAGCCGGAATTGGAAAGGACAAATTTGAAAATCATTTGGAGTGGATTTACGATGTGTGCTACACTCAGATGTGGAAATTACTCCTGAGAGTTCCTAAGATAAAAAGGTGCTGGATTATTAATTATTGGATTAGAAATGTACACAGGTGCCTTGTATTTAAAATCAGTGAAACCCACTGATTTCAAGGCTCACCCCTTATTTTTGTTATTTTCTCCAGGACCAGTTATGGCTTACATGGTAATGAAAAAAACCACTCCATATTTATTATTTAGTTAAAGAGTGAAGAGGAAATGGAAGGTGATTAAACAGAATCACACTCTGTCTGAAATTTTGCATGACTGCCTCAGATGTTCATTTTCTGTTTCCCCGCTTCAATGGAGGCTGCTCTCTTCTCAGGAAGGAAGAAATAAAACAGCCTATCTTGCATTTTTTTTTCCGTGGTTGACCCTCCATCCCTCAGCATGGTTTATAAAGCATCCTTAGAGCAGTTTGAGATAAAGGGGTGGAAAGAAGAATGCTAACATCTGACTGCCTTTGTATTTTGGTGGTTATTAGAGATGCTCTTTCCTCAACCAGGTGCTGAATAAATGTACAATATTACTGTTTCTGGAGGTGTTGAAGTGAGAATCATGGCACAGCAAACACTTTGGATGTGTCTCCTCTGCTGGGAGGGCTGGCTGGTCAGATAAATCACTGCTGTGCTGTGCTTAGTGACCAGCACAGAGCCAGCCTAAAATGCCATGGGCCAGGTTTGGAAGCAAGAAACTTTAGGGGTATTCTGAAAGAAGCCTGAATTTAAGGAAAAAAGAATAGGCAATCTCACAAATTCATGCAAAGCTGAATTGTGGCTTCTGAGGGTAGGATTCATCACACCGAGGGCTGGAAGGGAAAAGCAGTGGCCTTGTCTGAGAGTCTGCGGAGCTGCCTCTGTGGTG